AGTCCTGTTTTCTCAGGTGTTCGTGGTTTTGTGGCGAAGAGCCATCTACCTCCTCGTCTACGTGGGGACATAACCAAAATTGGAAGAGCGTTGCGATGTGTCGTCATGTTTTGTCAACAAGAACACTCCCCTTCTTGTGCTATCCGCACATCCCGACATTATTGCTGTAAGCAAACCCGAAAAGCGTTCTTCATTCCTGGTACGTTTAAAGAACTTTATCCGGTTTACTTTAAGTTTCAGTTTTTAATTTTATGTTTATAATTTATTAACGATCTCGCAATGATCAAACGTTGTTGAGCTCCTTTGATGAACGTGTTTAGGGCTATTCTGTTGGCGATCGTTTGAAATGCACAGTTATCGATGTCGTTCCATCAACATACCTTGTTTGTTTCTCGCTGCCTACGGGAGAGGATGGAAAAGTCCCACTTGTGTCCGCAATTTCTTATAAAAAGTACCTGAATAAGCCTGAAGAGATAGGTATGGTTCATCTTCTTCCTATTACTATTGCTGTTGTTTTTTCATTTGATACTTCCCTTCGGGAGCTGGGGAAAAAGTGAAACCATCATAACTGGTTGTAACTAATGGTAACGGAAGATCTGATGTAGAGCGCCAGTGGTCCTCTTTAGAGCCAGTTCTTCGTTATTTTTTGAATTTACTCTCTGGTTTTGTCCTGGCAGTCACTTGAAAGGCATGATGTGCTTGTGTTCGTTATCAAAGAAAGGGTTTAGACTTCTGCGATGACGCGCTTCAATGCTGTAGAGCCAGCCGCAGAGGGCTATCGATTTGCGCTTGCCGCTTGTGTTCTGAGAGAGTAGGGGAAATAGGAAGGATTCTCTTTCCCTAATCTCGCATTCTGGTTTTGATCGGGAGTGACTTACAGTGCTTTGGAAGAGTATCCCGTCTGCGGCTGCTTGTTTCGTGTATGCGCCTGCTTTCGCGTACACAGAAGTGGAGCGCCTTTGCAGTGGTAACGCGTCGACGCGCGTTACAGCGGCGCGTCATTGCGAAGTCTAAACGCTGCCTTAAAAGCGAGATACTAGTCACTCCCTAGAAAGCATTTTAGTCCTGGCAACAGTGTCAGGGAAATCATTAGCCTTCGCTTCTTTCCTCAGTGCTATGATCACCACGCTCGCCATTTCTCCATTCCTCTGAACAGCCTTGGTATTGTGGTCGATTAAATGCCCCCATTTTTGCATTGACAAGTTTGGACAACACAGTGTTCTAGGAAAAATGGTAGATTTATGTTACAGAAACGATACTTTCAGAGAAAATCTATACTCTTGGATCAGAGCACACATGTCGAGTAATGAATTTCCGCTATGCTGATCGATGTATTGTTGTCTCTACTCGTAAAGATATGCTCAGCCAAAAGTTTGTATCTTATAAGGTAAGGCAGCACGGTCGTCTGTTCTCGGTATACGTTGCTTCTCCCTCCTTGGTTCTGATGTTTAATTCTACTTGTGATACTGGTCCTCATCAAAAACGTCCTTTTTTATGCTCGTGTGAAACGACACTAATGTTGCAAGTTAAAGGACGCGGTGCTGGGCCAAGTGGTTGAAGCCGAAGTGACGGAGGTTCATCCTCGTGGCGTCCAAGTGACTCTGAACGGTTTCGTGAAAGGCTTCATCCCTGCAGAACATGCTTCCGATAAAAAAGTTGCGTTAGAGAAAGTGTTTACTGTCGGTGAGTGTTTCAAACTACTTAAAAAAGTTCTAGATTTTAATTAATTCCCAATAGAATTGAAGCCAAACAGGAGCGCTAACGAGGTTGGGGAGAGGCGTGACATGCGTCAGCGTGACTTGGAAGGTGATCTACGCTCACCCGAGATTCTTATGTATTTTTCCTCCAGGCTGAGCCTCAGATGGCCATAGTCGCAAAAACTCAGTCTGGCGGCGTGGTACCCACCTCCTCAACTTCAACAGCACCGCTAAGCAATCACATACTCGAACTTATGCATTACCTTTTCAGGTAAATCTATCAAATGTCGTGTTTGGTTTGTTAATGAGGAAAAGAAACAAGTATGGCTCACGGCACGTCCATCTTTGGTGAATTACAAGGTATTTTGCACTTTGTCTTCTCTTTTTAGTTCTTTGTAAAAAGCATAAATATGTCCCGACCCTGCTTTCTGCATCTGTTTCCGTTCCTGCACTATGTGGTGGTGCAGCATGAATGCAGGAAACCTGCGACCTGAAAGCCCCGATGCGATCGCTGTTCTCTTTACACCTCCTTATGACTTCCTTTCTTTTCTACTCCGATATCATCACGTCACTTTCTCGTAGTTATTTTTCTTAGTTAACACTACTCTTTAGGTCAGATAGGACATCGCCTTTTTTCTCAATTTCATCCTAGAATTTTGCCACCTTCTCTCGATTTTGAGAGTTATCATTGAGCTTTCCACACACTGCCCCATTGCAGTAACATTCTGAACCCTGGTCCATTTCAACGTGATCAAAATATTCTTTCCTTTTTTTCAAAATTTGAAGTCAGCTGCTCATTATTACCTTGCGATTGATGCTGTTGGTGTTTCAAGGGAGCTGTAATAACGAAATACGAAACAAAGAATGAGGGCGTCGTAAGTGTCGGCATTGTGCTGAAGGTTTTGGGGACGGGCGGTGTCGTGTTGCAGTTTTTTGGAACAGCACGTGGACTTCTCGTTGCTAGTGAAGCGAAAAGAATGGGCTCTGAAATCAGGTATTTCATACTTCCCTTGATTTTTCGCTTCGTTTGAAGTTTCCGTTATCGTATTACTTGTGAAAATCTCTTCAAGGGTTGGGCAAGCTCTTGAAGTTCGCGTTACGTCAGTCAACGTTGCTGAGAGCAAAATGACATTGGCATTAGCTGATGAGTCTGCTGGATGTGCGGAACACATTTTGAACCCCAAGGTATCGTTGTCTACAGTCCTTAACTGCTTGTAAACGAATGTTTTTGAATATATTTTCGTTTCCAGGCCATTGAGTTCTCAGTTGGCGAATCTGTTCTGACCGCTATTATTGACGATGTTACGGAGTCTACAGTTAACGGTCATCGTTCAGAAAGAGCAATACTTCATCTCGATTCAGTAAGTGCTTTCAGCCGAAATAAATGGCCAACGGTGAATGCATGTGTTTCAGAACCCTTCCGTCAAAGGGAGTCTGGTATCGAATCTTGTTTCTGATTCGTTAAATCCTCCTTTCGAATCGATGAAAACGACGTTCAGAGCCGGCTTGAAGCTAAGTCCTGTCGTTCCACTAGGGTTTCTCGGGGGTGTTAACAGGGTACGTTTTTCTACCTGGGAATTTTCTAATGTTTGCGCTCTGTATCTCTTTCTCCCTCTCTTTATAGGTGTAACATTTTGTTGCGCCTTACTAATAAATTTATGAATGACGGTTTTTCCAGTTCACTACAAAGCGTTTCGTATGTGAGTGGCTGAAAACTTTTGGAGAAAATGTTCCAAAGTCTTTTAATGATCTGAAACAAGGACAGGTACGTTTTCTGTCTTCTCGGCATTGCTCTTCTCGGACGGATTTTGATCTGACACTCTTCTTTGAAACCACGTTTGGAAGCGAAAGCATGGTTTCTTTCCTTGTCTTTTTAATGAACTTCTGCTTCCATTTCTAAGTCATTCTCGCCCTTCCATTAGAAGAGGAACTCCGACTGACTTTTTTCTCTCTCCTTGACAGCTTATGGTTAGATCAGATAGTACTTTCGCTTGTTTATAAATCACCATTTCCTTGTTTTAGCTTATTTGTGGCTTGATTTCACAGCGTGTACCCGACAGCTGCCTTTATGTAGAATTAGCCGGTGGAAGTGGACTCATTGGGAAAGTGGCATTCAGCGATATCGATGGAGGTATGCTATATAGAAACACCAAATTTCTGTCCCTCGGACCTTTCTGCTCAACTCCTAGAGTCTATAATAGTGCTTTATCCAAGTTTTACTCTACTAATTTTATTCCTGATTTTTTGTTGTTTGTATCTACATTATTTCAATGGTTTTGACTATTACCGAGCCGTTCACTCTCAATTCCTTTGAAAATCGTTGCCTTCGTTGCACACATACCTGTGCGATCCCTTGCTTGGGTGAACTGCTGTCCAATGGTAACCCTGCGTCACGGCTACGTTCACGGCCAGTACTAGAATTAATTGCTCTACCCTTAGTGGAATGAGCACCTTCTTTGATGCTGGGATCTTCATACAGTGTTAGAACAGAATCAAATTTCTCGCGTACGTCATTTCTCGTCACTCTCTACCTTACACGTTCCTGTCCCAATATGTTCTAATTTGTTTCATGGTTTTAACCAATTTTAAATCCTTTTTCTATGTCAGGAAAGGATGGTGCAACCGGTCTGCAGATTGGTCAAACAGTTCTGGTTCGTATAAGTAAGATCAATCGAGAGAAGAAAACCTTTCGTGTCAGCTTGAAGGTGAAACATTTCCTTTTTCTGCCAGTATTCTTTTTCTCTGGTTGATCGATCCTTAGCCCAACATCTGTGATTACAGCTGGCTGACTGCGTGCCAGACCAGAATCTGCCAACAAAGGCTGCATCACCATTCTCTTCGGTCGCTTTGCAGTTGCTGCGCTCGTCGGTCGAAGAACTGATCGCTCTTGCAGAGATCTCTAAAACAAAATTGCCTTCGCTAGGTAAGAGCTCTATCTTCGAGGGAGCGAATAAGCGTTTTTTAGAATATTGATTTTTGTCATTCCAGGCAGCGCTGTTGCAGCAACTGTGTCTCAGATTGTGGATGACGTCCTCTTTGTTACGTTTGGTGGAAAGCTGACCGGATGTGTTCGGAAAGGGAATTACTCTGGAGATGTCAAGGTTACTTTTCAAGTTTCGATGATCTGCTTTCGATTTTCGGTCTTGCTTAATAGGCAATTTAAAGGTTGGAGATAAAATCAAATGCCTTATTATCGATTACGTTTTCCCACGTAACGACGCTGAATTGGTTATGATAGACTCAGAAGCTTCCATGTCCTCGAAAAAGAAGAAAAGCAGTAAAGAACGAAGTGCAAAGGTAACAGTCCTGCATTTTCTGACCACTATGAGGATTTTGAAAGCGTGTCTTTCCAGGGTTCTGCGTCATCTGATCGTATAGTGCTGGTGAAAAGAGACTATGTCGTTGTGCTGCATAGAACGGAGCACTTGGTGTTCGTTCCAACGAGATTTCATCCCAATCAAATTGTGGAAATCAAAAATGGTCCTTCTTCTTTCCTTTTTTCTTTCTTTTTCCATTCTTTCCTGTCTATGATCATCGGCACACGTCTTGCCATTAAGGAAAACTACAACGTGCACTGATCATGATGAGTTTTCAGAGAATTCCTACAGTATTTATCCTTTTTCTTTGGTTGGGGTCTCGCAAGATCACATCGCGACATCTATATAGTCTTTGCTAGCAGAAGAATTACGAGAGGTTTTTCAGTGCGGGTATCGTTTGGTGATGAGGTGCAAATTACGAATACGATACAACTAACGAATACCGTATATATTGGCTTTCTGGAAGGTGATGAAAAACTGATAGAAAAACTGATTTCGGCAAGTAAAAGTGCCTCTAAAGCAGGTTAGTTCCGGGCATACTCTAACTTTTTTTTTAAATTATTCCATGTGCACGCTCCCGTATGTCCTGATTGTTCAGTCCTTCCAATCAAGCCATTCGTTTGTCATCAAACATTCTCCTAAACATAGACCGATGTTTTATAAAAACTACCTTTTTTTCTAAAGCAAGGGTGTAAATCCCGTTAGGGGGCTCTTACGTGAACTTCTGTAGTGATGCGAATTATGACACCTCTTGAAATGGCGGCGGTTTCGTTTTGTGTAGATCTAGCTTGATTTTCTCACCTTCGCGGCTCTACAATAAGTACGAGTGCCGAGCTTAAGTACGAACTGTTATCGGGCGCAGTTATATGTAGTATACCGCACGATGTACGCCTCGCCACTTACTGAGGAGCCGAAATGTGGATAGCCTTTGCGAAAACGGCCTGGACTACTCCGTCAAGGAAGGAGTCATACAAATTGGTTGAAAGTGGAGTTTGTCTTTAATAACTTATCTGGATGGCGTCCAGCTCTGGGATGTACTAGTTAATGTTGTAAGCAAGAGATGAGGATCCGTCTGTACCTAGGAAGGAGGGAGCCGATGCAATAGCTGTGAGTGAGCCGAATGTTTCGTGGAGAAATCCGCGCGTTTCATGAGAGGCGGCTCATTTCAACCGAACCATTCTCCGCACCAACAGTTAGCTTAAAATAGCAGTCTTAAGAACAATTAGATTGGTTTCTGTTCAAATAAGGATAACTTCGCGTAACAGTGAAGGTTTTAAAGGTGGTAAACCGCACTGTGTAGCATCATCATAAAATGTGAAAGTGGCACATTTCGTCTCACCTTCCGTATCATTACCCGACTGCTGTTTACATAAGTACCCCTCGCAAGGGAGCCTAGTGCAGAAAAAGCTTTCTAGTGAGCCGTATAATACTCATAGTGATAGTCATAGTCATGACCTAACTGACCACAGCTTAGCGCGTGAATGAGAACAACCCTATTTGTTTAGGCCGATCTTCTGACGAGAATGTGAGCGAAGGTGACGAACATCCTCGGAAGTCCAAATCTGAATTGGTTCGTGAATCAGTTGATTTGTTTATTTTCAGTAGCTTGCGTAGTTAAATTACTCTGTTCATTTACGTTTGATGAATTTCCTTGTGAGCTAACATGGTTGTTGGGTGGAACTCTCAACTGGTGGTCTGACCTTTCGACTATATCGTCTTTATCAAAGGGCTATAAGTAACTCATGGTTTGATTGTTTTCTCTGCATCGCAAAACGCCTCCGCTTCCGAACGTTTCTGAAAAACTATCAGAAAAGCCATTGAAAGAAAAGACTGAAGGGAGACTCACTAAGTACGCCGCTGTGGGGCGGAAAGTGGCTATCCAGTTAGTTGTCGGTACAAGAGGTGGAACTGCTATTCCTGACTACAAGTGCGTTACCGTACTGGCAAAGTAAGTCTCTCATTGTACTAACTAATTGAGTGGCTACTTTTCGCTCGCGCGGTAGTGAACCGTAAGTCTTCCCTATTAGAAATTTTTTGGTAATTTTCTTGGTAGTCTGAAACGCTCGCGAGTTGAGGCATCTGGCGGTACATAGAGTGCAGTTTTGAACCATGAGCCACGCGTAGGCCTCTGATGAAAACGATCTAGTCGAAATTTCATGCCATCAATAAAGGGTTCCACCTAACAACCTCGTTGCCACACAAAAGAAGCCATTAAACGTACCAACAATGTTGAGGTTCTACCTTTGGGGAAGCTGAACACACTGGTCTGCCATTTATTGATCAATGGATGGTTTTCAGGGTATTCGAACTAGAAGTGTCAAGAATCTCAAGACCTACACAGGTACTGTGATGGGTGAGTGGACTAGTGATGATCGGCGCGATCATGGCAAACTTGCTGCACTTGTTCAACTGCCTGGAGGAAACATTGGTAATTCTTTCGTCTTTAATCAGTCGCCCATTTCTGGTTACTCAATAGAAATATTTACAATTAACTCCACTTTGAAAAGGGCAAAAGTATGCGTGCATGCATTTTCAGGTCGTCTCCATGTTTCTGAACTCCCGGCACGATTTCTAATGGGAAGCAGTTCTCCCCTTGAAGATTTTATCAAGCGAAATCGCAACAAAGCAGTTGTTGTAAAAGTTATCCGATTCACACCAATCAAGAGGGGAGACTCAAAGGTTCGTTTTGCGCCCACTTTCTTGTTCTTACACTTGTTCCAAGGATCTGCTATTTTAGTACTTGATTATTTTCGTCTTAGGTACGTGTCGCAGAACTGACGATGGATGAATCGAAAATGGGAAAAGCGCGAAAACAAGCTTCATTGGTCGCTTTTCAAAATGATTTCAATGCAAGTCATTATTTCCATTACCTGCATTTTTTCCATGTTTTACGGTGTTTTTCTCTTCCGTTTCTCATAGTTTTTTTTCTTAGCCTGGTGACGTTGTTCGTTGTTTCGTAATTCCTAACCAAGAGATGACGAGTAAAAATATCCGTGTGGAGGTCAATCCTATCTGGTCTGGTCAAATAGCACACGAAGCTGTCGGTGATGATATGAAGGTATACTTTATACTCAGAGTTCAAGGTTTTGATAGAAGGCGCATTCTATTGCCAGCCGAGAAGAGGGATCCTCTTTCTTCGAGTGAAAAAGTAGTGCAGAAGCAGAGCCGTTGTTTCGGCTGTCTCGACTGCGGATTGGCCCAATTTGTAGTTGAAGAAAAATATCGTCCGAAATTGCTGTTTTGACAGCAATGGTGAAACGGCAATCATACCATCAGATAGCGCAAAAAATTCTCTTTAGGATGTACTACTGAGACGCAAGGGAGAATGAGTTTTTAATCAGCAATGAATGTACAAAAAATAGTAACACAAAACGCTGAGAACTTTCGGACAACCTAATAGTTCTATATGGGGCATTTGAGCAGTTTTTTGTGCTTAATACTTCATGTCTTGTGCTATGGCACGACACTTTTGCCAATTAAGTGAAGCGCAGCACTACCACCACCTTTTCCAACTGAAGCGTGGAGTGTTATTAACTGCCGCTCCGCTGCGAATTTCAGTAATTCAACTAGCTATTGAACGTTAATTCTACGCATAGTCTTTTTGCTGCGTGCAGAAGCTTGTGCTAGTGCGGTCAGCGAGTGTGGCCCATTTTTCGGGTGTCCAGTGTGGGCACCCCAGAAATAACTGTAAATGCTGTGCTGGAGTCGAGAAAACAGCTCGGAAATGCTCTGATAGTTTCTGCGTGTCACCAAAGCGTAGATCTCCCACCTACACCACCATTCTTCGGATTATACTGTCGGAGCGGCCTGGATGGCAGCTGAGCTGCGTTTGCGGATCGTTCGTACCCCGATCTTCTTTTTGCGTATAAGTAGTTGAGGCTTAGAAATTGGTCTCTTTTATATTTTGCTGCTTTGCTTTCAATAAAGAATCCAGTCGTCATTTTAAGGTTAGCGCTCCACAGCATGATGGAGAAGTGTTCGAGTGCATACCTAAAGGCGGTGAAATGCGAATGGCGAAAGTTCTGAGTGCTGTAAAGATCAAGAAGGGTCACGGCCATGGACTTTTGAACTTGGCTTTCGATCTGCAAGCAGATGTTAAGGTCAGTTGACAGTTGAGAGCTCAAGTTTTTTCCAGAAATTTTTTTAATCAGTTGTTGTTTCTTGTTAGTTTATTTAGGGTGTCCACAAAGTTCGTTGGCCATTTGTAAACAGCGTCGCGTTACGCAACGCGTTGTGATTTTGCATAAAGATTTCGCAATACTGAAAGTACTCGCGATGGGCTATCTTCTGAGCTAGCTAGCTCTAAATTTCTTCCTGCTCTTCCCACAATAAAGCAGTGAAGATGAGTGATAGTCACCACCACCGCCGATGTTTGCTGGACTACTACAACCTGGGCATCTCCAGACGTCAGGCCACGACCAGGATGCGTCAGCAGTTTGGTAATAACACCCCTTCTAAGAACTGGATGTCAAAATGGGGGACTCGCTTCACCAATGGAAACTATGGCATCGAAGATATGCCGAGGTTTCTGGTTCTCTCGCCACGGCGTCGTCCACTACAGCATCCTACCCAACAATGCCACAGTGACGGCAGAGACCCTCTCTAAAGAATTGCAGGAGGTCAAGGTGAAAGCTGCCGCCTTGTCCCAGAAACTTGCAAATCCGTGGTTGCTCTGAGACAACGCGCGCCCCCACAAAGCGAGAGATACTCAGGCCGTCCTGGACAGGCTGGGCATCGAGACGATCACGCATCCACCGTATAGCCCGGGACATAGTCCATGCGATTACCACATCTTCCGGTCCATGCAAAATTTCTTGGACGGAAACAGCTGAATAACGAGCGCGACCTCGAGGACGTGATCGAGACTTGGGGCCGAGTCGGCGGCCGGCCACTTTGGGAAGAATGGAGTTGCCTCGTCTACCCCATCGTTGGCGAAAGTAGGTATGCATGGAGATTATATCATGGACCGGTAAGTTCAACTTGGTGAGATATCTTTACAGCTCTGAAAAAACGAATGGCCAACGAACTTTGTGGACACCCTAATAGAATACTGACTTTGATCCATACATGTAAAAGTGTTGTCAATGGATAATTCAGAAGTTCGAACCCGGTCATCGGTTGACTGCTCGCGTGACGCATGTAAAGCATCACCCGATGTCTGTGCAGTTTTCATTTGGCCAACGGACAACTGGCGACGTTGTGTGCGACTGCGATCGCGAATAATTACGAGAAAGTGCATCAACATATCGAAGCATTTCAACGTGACTGGGGTGAGTTATGCTCAGTCCTAAAAGGCCAGACAACAGAGGACAAATGCTTTCGCTGTTCATCCATGCACACGAAATCTGGCTGATCAATGACTTACTTTCAAACGTGTGAGTGGCGTTAGGCTACACAAGAACAATTGCTCAGTAGGGAGCAAATTACTCGCAATGGGGTGCAGTAGGTGCGACTGCGGACCCACCCTTCTGTGAGTCGTTTGCTCCGTGCTGAACAGTCGTTCTTGTTAAGGCTACGGCGTATAAGCCGTCAAGCTGAGAAGATAAAAGCGGCCCTGGTGCGTAACGGATAGCGCACTCGCCCGGAAAGCGTGAGGTGCGGGTTCGACTCCCGCCTGGTGTGAATGCGAACTGCGGCGTAAAACAGCAGTTATCATCATAAAACAATTAAGATAGTCCAAAGTTTTCGAGCTTTCAAAGTTTCCTTGATCTTTTTTTTCAAATTCCAAAGTGGTTCATTTCACATGGTCTCGAGAGAGCTTAACTCCTCTGGTTTTTTCAAGGACAACTGTTCGCGTCAAACAGTTGCTCTTGGGAAAGGTGAAAAGTAAAGGGGAGGAAAGGATGATAAATTCAAGAAAGAACAGAGGAAAGATGGATAAGAAGCATCGCTCTCAGCTGATAAATCAAGGAACGAGCGTTATTAAAACAGGATAAAAAGCATCGTGACGCTCGGCTATTTCGATCTCGACTAGGACCGTGGTTGGAGCCGCACGGCAATTGCTTCGCTTTAGGTTACGTTCATATTTTGCGTCAGCGTTTCGAGGGTACGCTAGCGCCAGTGACTAAGAAAATGTACGTATAGGTCTAGCGCATGCCAGCGTACGCAAGCGTTTTCGCGAGCAGTCTTGCTCAAGCTCGAAGTGCCAGCGAAAATGTTGGCGTACGCTAGATCGATATTACGCTCAAAACGCTCGGAACCTGCCGTCCGCTGGTGTGCGCTGACGCAAAGTATGAATGCAGGCCTTAGGTCCTGCGGCTATCTCGAAATGACACGGTCGCTTTCGTTCAAGTGGTTTCTAAAAGACAGACCTCGTCCAGGAGGCCATCTGCGTTGAATTTGAACCGATTGCGCTTGACTGAAATCAGCTCACACGGCGTTCGCTCTTTGGTCACTACGGTTGGCTGTTTCAAAAGGACAAATGACGGAGGTCCTCACTCATCCGGAAAGTCTTGGAATTCAGTGAAACGATTCCCCATGAGTTGGTCAATTGTCAAGGGGAGCGCCTGTGCGGCGCTGTGTACAATTCGTCTCCCGCTCCTGTCTGGCAGACAAGTTGAATCGCGGCATAACTGGATATGAAAGAGAAATGTGCATGAATCGCCTTTCTCGGCACGGACTGGAAAAGTTCCTGAAATAAAGGCAGCCGCTCTTGGTTTGGTTGCTGGCAACAGACCCCTGATAATGATGGTCCATATATAAGCCATGAATTTTTTTTTTGAAACAGATTTGATTCAAGGAAAAGTTTCGCGAACTTTGACTGTGAACGCTGCAGTTAGTATGGGACGACAGTGAACCTTTTTAGATCTTTCATTTGTATGCGCTGCGTCAAGAGCAAAATCCTCAACGTAATTACGTGTGCGCAGAAGGTCGGTATGAGTCGTATCTGAGGAACAAAGACGTGCCAGCTAAGAAGGACGATCACCGACGACTGCTCGTCGATCGCAGCGAAGTTGCGGCAGGATATGTGGTAATTTGTTTGCTAGTTTTGGTAGTTCATTTCTTGTAAGTATTTACGTGTGTATGTTCCATAGATTCCTTCTACGCCATAGTCGCATTTTTCTCTCTTATCTTATTCAGTGTAATTCCTGCCTGCAAACTGCTTCAGAGCCATTAAAACACCTCCATAGATCCTGGTTCTTGTGTGAAGTGATGGGCCCGGTACCAGTACGTCCGATCAAAAAGGCACTGAAACGGGCTGGAGGGTGGTGCTAAGCGGGTGCTGACTCCATGCTTTCCCTGCGAAGCTGCACGGCCAGCCACGCATCTGTGCACACCTACAACGCGAGACCTGTCTGCTTATTTTTTGCGCCTCTCACTTCTCGGCTTGTTCTTCTAACGCTGAGTGCCTGTTTCCGCTGTGCGGCATGCGCGGGCTTACGAATGCGGGCAGCTTTTTTCCCCCTCTTTCTTTTCCTCTTCTATCCTCTTTTCCTTCCTTCCTTCTCGGCATCGCTCTTCCCTATTTTCCTTTCCTTGGTTGAATGCCCAGGAAGAGAAGGTTGCCATGAGCAAAAGACCTTCTGGACCCTTACACGTGAAGAGAGGGGTCAGTTCGCATAGTGTTTGTTGATACAGTGATTGTGGTATCAACGCAAGCCGCTGCCACTATTGTGGGCATAGCGCGTATGGAAATCGCACGCGGAACTCACTGCCCTCCAACCCCGATCCCGTACTTTTTTTTTAACCGAAAGTGACTGCCATCTCGCACACAGCAAGAACCGGAGTGTCCCAAAGTTCTGTTGCCCTAATATGTCACCTTTTTCAGTGCGATGGATTCGTTGCTAAACATACAACTGATGCCTTGTTGGTAGAAATCGGACCAGGAATTATTGGTCGCCTCCGGAAAATACACCATCCGTATGAATTGGATTCTTGCTTACATCGCAATAGACCCAAGTTTACAATGTTTTGCAGCAATGTGCAGCCTTAAAAGTTTATTTCGAAAAACCGAGCGACACTATAGTCTCAGAAAGTCCTCAGAAGCTCCTCAGGTTATTAAACACTGGAGCGTTATTCGGTAACACTTTCGTCAGGCCGAAATGATAGCTTATTATTTTATTCAGATAACTTGACGAGTGTACCAATCTAGCTTACACGGACTGGCACCCAAATCGGTATACCTCCTCCCCCCCCCCGGCCGGCTCATAAGATGCTTGGACCTACCCAGATTTTTGGAATAAATCTTTAGAGCTTCACATTGTTGCAAAACATACAGGTGTCAGGGGCTTCAAGAAGTCACTATTTTTAGATTAGTTCACAACTAACCTTAAATTTGCCGAATTGTCACTGTTTCAATTTCAGGGAAGTCTCAACAATTACCTTGAACTCGATAGTTACTGTACGAGTACGTCACGTAGATAATGAAGGCCGGATATCCCTTTCGCTTGTTGCCGTTGTATTCAAAGCACCCGCAATCCAGGTAGTTTGTTCAAAGGCACTAGCTTTGCTAGAATGTGGTAGTGGTTGTTCATTGTTGTGCAGTAATTGTTCGCTGCAGATGGCATTTCGTGGGGGCTAAGTTTAGCGCGACGCCGGCCTGCTTTCCACCAAATGAAGCTGTCCGTCGACCGCAGGTGGAGAAAAGGCCGCGCCAAAGTCAGCCACAGGATCCGCAGCAAACAAGAGTGTGACTTTCCAATAGTCTTTGTAATAGCCGTTTTTAGGATAGAAAACGAGCAGCCGAGGAAGATGACTCTGTAGTACCGAAAAAGGAGAAGAAAAAGGAATCCTCTCCCGAACCAGTTGAAAAGGTTTCGGTGGGTATCAACCGTTTTCGTATTTCTGAGCTTGAAGAATTCAACCTAGTAGGCGGGGTTTAGGTGCTAAAATCGTGTTGTCTAGTTTTTTCCCCACTTTTCGAAACCTTGTGCAAAAGCAGTAATCACAAAAACGATTTTTAGTTGAGTGATCCCGGATTTGACTGGACAAATACTGGTTTTCGCCCAGAAGATCTTGCAGCTGTGGGTAAACTTGGAAGTGACGACGAAGATGATGATAAACCCGCAGCAGATAAGGCTTCACCGGAGGAGGTCCAGAAACCGCCGGTGGAAGTCAAAAAAGAGCGGGTGAAGGAGATCAAGAAAGTGAAGGCAATGAGTTAGTTGTAATCGATTTTTTGACATGAAATCTCATCCTGTGGCTAGAAAGACTTTGCCTGTTTCTAGCTAAGGAAGAACAGGATATGGAGAAAGAGCGAAGGCTGACAAATCGAGAAGTGGAACTCTCGGGTGACTTTGAACCAGAAACCCAAGAGGACTTTGCTCGACTCTTACGAAAAGATCCTAATTCTGCTGAGATATGGATAAGGTTTGTTGTTATGCATCACTTCTGAGAGTCCAGGCATGGAATAGTGAGGAAAACCACGGTGAAAAAGCGTACCCTGCAACAACTGATCAAGAAAGCTTGGAACAAGAAGCAGTACGACTCGTAAGGCGCAATGCTGAAGTTTGGGGGGTTGCTGAATTACGTCCCTGGAATCCTCCTGGGTCCCCTTCCGGAAAGTGCTTTGAAGACAGCTCCTGCGATAAAAGTGTCATGGATAATTGCTTTTCTATTGTGAAACAGTAGCTGATAAGCAATTATTCAAGGAAGAAAAAGCAAACAAGGGTCAAGAACACCATAAACAAAATCGGGTGCTAACTAGTTGGGAGGGGCCACGCGGCTCGCGGCGAGTGATGACTCATCGGCTCTTCACTCATTGACATACTTATAGCGGTAGCAGCAAAATTAGAATAAAACAAACAAGATTCACCGGAAACTTGCTGAGAAATCCCACAGAAGCTGAAAACAACAAATGTTTGATCTTTTATAGTCAAGAATCAACAAAAAGGCAACAATCGTTTGTATTTTAGGCAAAATCTTCCAGCCTACAACTGTTTCTTCGCACTTTTCAGCCTTAACTGTTTTAGCTTTTGAATATAGCTAGGACGGTGTTATATCCATGTCCTAAACATGAAATTACTTCTTTTTTGCCGAGGAGAAAGCAGAAGAGTCGATGAGTCATCACTCGCCGCGAGCCGCGTGGCCCCTCCCAACTACGTTAGCACCCAAAATCGCTCCCTGTCAGTCACACAGCCCTGCGGTCATTGTGCAACCCCTGGCTCACAAATCCCTTTTTCGCATCTCCCAGTAATGGATATCATCCAATGCAAAAAAAAAGAATACGGAAAACAACAAAAACATGGAAGAAAAACTCTTGAAAAAGAGGAAATAAACTTCTAAAACTCGGCGTCCGAATTAAGGGTTACGGTAGCGCGTATCGTTTAGTGTGTTTAGTGCGTCGAGCTTTTGCAACTACGAAAATTGGGTCGCTCGTGATTTTTACGCGTTTTACCTTGCGAGATGGGATGAAGTTGACTGTATGTGCTGCTAATGAATAAAATGTAATAAAGGAAAGCAGAATTATTCATGGGCACGAGCGTGGTCAGCGAAAAGGACATGAATGCCGATTAATGCCCGCCGCCCCAACAAAGAACAACTGAGCGGCCCTCCGTCGGAGGGCATCTAGCAAGTGAGGCGGTCCAACTGAGCGGGCGTTAGAACTAGAACTTTGAGGGGCTGTAGCTTGCTCCTCGCTCGTTGTGGAGTCGCGAGAGTGGGACAGTTTCTAGCTTGGGGGCTGTACTACTTGCACAAGGAGGATGACCGAGTGTACTACTTGGGCGCGGGGGCTGTCTTTAAAAAGCGAGACGTTTCAGCAGAAACTGACAAAGTATGGTACGAGTAATAGACGGAGGTGTCACAGTCTTGTTCGCTGCAGTTGAATAGGCGTGTCAGGCGATGTTTGGCGCTACGCTAAATCCGTTTCCATCAAATGCTGAGCGACCAAACGACAAGACTGTAGCATATCCTTCGTATCAGTCGCTTTTCACCAATGATTGTCGCTTCTCCACATCAACAACTGGTGGAGAACAGGTTTGGCGCCGCGCTCAATCCATCCCTCCTGACACTCCCCTCAATACGCAGCGAACAAGACGGTACAGAAGGAATGAAGAGGCAAATTTTTCACCTAATCACAGGACCTGTTATCGCGACTTTTAACGGCTACGAAAAGTGTGCCTATAGTATGAAAATGGGTGTTATCATGTCTTATGCACTCATTTCTTCAGATTACCATTTTGCAGATATATATCGTTCTTCCTCGAAAAGAATGACCTCACTAAGGCGCGTGCTACTGCTGAGCGAGCTCTCACAGTAATTAATTACAGGTAATACAGATCACTTAGAAGTTCTTGGTAGTAAATATGTCTCATATTTGAAGGGAAGAAGCCGAAATTTTTAATATTTGGACCGCGTTCCTGAATATGGAAGTGGCATATGGTGATGAAACATCAACAAAAGAGGTGTTCAGCCGAGCTTGTGGCAATGCAGACGCTTACAAAATACACAAACAAATGGCTGCCATATATTCGGACACTGGCAAGAATCAGGTGAGATTTGTGCTCTTTATTTGTTTATTATCTCGAAGGTTTCCATCAAGAGTTAGGCGGCGTTCATGTTTGCGGCTGAGGTGGTTTGGACGTTTTGGGAGATTCAGCGAATCGAGAGTATGAGGAGGTATAGGCATCGGCCTGGCGACTGTGGAGAACAGCCACCGTCGCGAACGGCGCAGCTCGATAAACGTACACTCTCTTGACTCGCAATCGCTCGAAACGCCGAACATCCTATCGCCGGATCTCCCAACCTTCCAAAAAGTCGGTCGTCCCATCTTCCAAAAGGTTGGATCGCCGATTCCCCTCAGTCGCCATATCGATGCTTGCACTTTCATTGTCTCGCAATCTCTTGAATCGAATTTCCTAAATCGCCGAATCTCCTCAGTCAGATAGTATAAACGCTGCCTCAGCATTAAATTTTTGAGGAAGCCGATGAAATCTATGATGCAATGGTGAAGAAGTTCCGTGCGAATTCTGACGATGTTTGGACGCTATATGGCGAGCATTTAATGAAAACCGATCGAGCCGATGCGGCGCGTGAATTGATGAAGAGAGCACTCGCTAGCGTTCCGAAGCAACGGCGTCAGTTTCTGCGAGTCTCGCGGCCTTCAATTCATTAGCGGTTTTCTATCGCCATTTCAGATGTTCCATTGATCAGCCGATTCGCTCAAATGGAATTCCGTAATGGAGATGTTGAGAAGGGACGTACACTATTCGAAAGCCTGGTGAGGGTCTATTAATAGAGAAAATTAATTTTTTTTTCATTTGTTCACCTGTTTCTGCCACGAGGTTTTCAGGTGGAAACTTTATTCGACCACTGGTCCAACCACTCCGTCGTTTTCAGAGATTTTCTTGAATTCCAACTTCTCTTCAACTATCTACCTTTCAAAAGCCTGCCGATTTGATATTGTTCTTGTATCGCAGAATCGCTAGAGGCTTAATGATGTACGTATGGAACTAGAGAATTAAACACCCCCCCTCACTGTACAAGATGTGATTGGACAATGACTACTATCTGGACGGTAGACATTAGCCAGAGCCATCTCCTGCTCTCTTTGAGCTGATGCTAACAGGGCAGATATAAGGTCAGGAAAACGGCGGTCCTGACGATGCTGGCTAGCGTACTAACCACCCAAGGCCAATTAGAAGCAAAGGAAAGGAAACATTGGGAAAGGAATACACTCCAGAGCACAGATGATCCGTTTCGCTCGGTATCGCAGACGAATCATCATTGTCTAGCCAACCCCCGAGCTCATCAGTGCGACAGGTTGACGACATGAGGACATGGACAACATAGGGGAAGGTGTTGAGAAATAGGATAAAACGAGAGAGAATGTAAAAGTAAAGGGGTATACATGCAAAGTTCATGCATATCAAGATGATGGCCAATTATACATAATAATGAAAGAGTGATATAACACGATATGAGTAGTAAATACGTGTAGGAGGAAGGAAAATTGGATTGATAATAGGTTAAACCTACTGAAAGATGTTGAGTATCAACCAATGTCCAAGCGGATTACAACAATCAAATCAATTAAAAAGTGTAGCGGAAGGAGGAGAATTAGCGACGAGCACCGCTGCAAATGAGAATACCTGTTACTAGTCTATTTATCTTTCTATAGTTATTTGCGATTGAGAATTTGTAACTTATAAATTTACCAGTCGGATCACCCGGCTGCCGCCGGGTGCTCCTCCTTCTTTGTCACGGCCCGGCTTCGCCGGGCCGGCCTGGCTTCGCCAGGCACTCTTCTCCTTAGGCGAGAGTGCCTGGCGAAGCCCGGTGGAGTGTACAAAATACGCCTAATCGTCATAGTGCATTTTCCAGCAAAATGTAGAAAAATAATTGGAAATAGCTCGAGCAATGGGTTAAAGTTGAATCTGGCCAGAGGATCGTGCAACATACAGCGCTTTGTTACTTCCGAAATTCTAATGACATCAAAAGAAAGAGCCTGACGCCCCTTATCCAATCTTATCAGATGCTGGCAGTTTTTGTCACCAACCTAGTGTTCCTTTCCTAAACCCTACATCGTATCTTGGAACCAACCTCCTACTGTTGCTGTGACTCGCGTGATGGACTCAGTGACCATACCCTTCTAACATCCCTCGAATCTTATCAGCAGCTTACTGAAGTGACTTAGAGTGCACTACATAGTTCTATTATACAAGCTTGGCTGACGCGCACTACTGCGCGTATGGTTGAACCTATGGTAATGGTACTGCGCTGACAGGATTCCTGTATTGACCCCGAACACTTCGCCCGATTACAATTTTCTAGAATACGGCCTATTTCATTATGATTCTCCTATTTAATGAACGTTTGCTAATGTCTGGTGCTTATCACATTTCTAAGAAACACTCACCATCCGTTGGAAATAGGACAGCTTAGCGGTTGAAAGACTTTCGATGGTAATAACATCGATATCATGGTGATATATCCTCACACCAGTCGGATCGCCCGGCTAACGCCGAGCTCTCCTCCTTCTTGGAAGCCCGGCTTCGCCGGGCTCATGCAACTGCTTTAGAGCCTCACTTCTTAACTCGTGAAAGAAAGGAGCAAAGTAAGGCATAAGCAGGGCGATACTACTGTCTTAGGCATTTATGATGCTCTCATGGTGACTAACCGGTGTCTTCTAATCAAATAAATGTAGGAACGCGCCATATAGTGCAGGGCAGCCATATAGTCGCAGGGCACTTTTATAATGAAAAGTTTAAAATCTGGTCATGGATAATCGATTACTGTCCTCCCCATCTTATGACAGCCACGGATTCTTCGGTCTCCGCAGTCGCTGCGTGCTCCTGTTCAGGCGAGCGTTGGTCGCGCCAATATGGTACCCCTTCACCTCAGCTACCCCAAACTAACCTCAGCTATTCCCCGCTCAGCCACCCTACAGGTCACGCTCAGCTGCTACGCGAATAGCCCGTGCAATGGTTCTGAGTGCACTAAATGGTTGTGTTATGTTGTGGAGGGTGTTATGACTATCAAAAGCTACCACAATTTGATAATGCAACATTAATCGGTTCAGTTCCGATTGCGGTCGATCCATTTTCTCCCCATCTTGTCGCAACCGTAGACGCCTTACCGCCGCAGGGGCTATGTGCTCCTAATCGCGAAATCGCCGTTCTCATCTGGTATCCCCTCACCACATCATATCCCACTGACCCTATTTAACCGGCACCCACCCCCGCACGTGGTATGCAGCCGCCATGCAACATAGGGACACTACGCCGCCACTGTTCTTACCACCGCCTTGCTCGTGCTCACGTCCAGCTCCCAAGCGAGCAGCTCCTGCAGTAGCACAGAGTATATCACAGTGGTTGGCTTAGATAGCGGGAGCGATTCACAATCCAAACAACTTCTTAGTTCGTTGCTGTAACATGGATTAGCTTGCAGTTTTGCTAGGGGTTCTTTCCTTCTGTCTTGCCGCCTGCTCCTATTCAAGCGTACGCTACGCATCCTTACTGTACCCAGTTTGCCCGATTCAATCCATATGCCTCCATCCCCTGCATGGGCTCAGACGACTGAGTACGCGCAAGGGAGTGAGGATGGGAGAAGGGGGTCACTCGATACTAACTCCCACCTTCCTCACCTCACCCCATTCCGTACTCGCCACTCCACCCCCCCCCACCTTGCCCCTTGCACGCGCTTACGTCCAGCTGCCACGCGAGCAACCCGTGCAATGGCTCGGAGTGTAGTGGTTTTCTTATATAGTGGAGAGTGTTATCACAACCAAAACAACTTCTTAGTTCGTTACGGTAACATAGATTGGCTTGCAGTTTTGTTAGCGGTTGTTTCCTCATCCCTTGGTGCGCGTTTCTGAGCGAATCGTGTGGGAAGATCACAGCGCGCTACGCATCCTCACTACCCCGTCCCCGCCCTCCCCTCTGCCTCCCTCCCATACACTTGCTCAGCTCCGGCTGAGCACGTGCAGGAGAGGGAGGCAGGGCGACCCGGTACCCCCACCCTGCCCCCGCACGAGCACACGTCCAGCTGCCACGCCAGCAGCTCGTGCAATGGCTCGGAGTGTACCGAATGGTTGTCTTATATAGCGGAGGCTGTTATCACAATCAAATCATTGGACTGCTACATCCTCCCAGTCGGTTACCGGTTTGCCTAGCGGTCGTTTTCGCCTCCAGCGAACTCGAACCCGTGAAGTATTTTGCGGACGGACAGACAAACATACATACATACATACATACCATACAAACCTACATACATACAAACATACAAACCGACACACAAAGTTACTGGTTTATAGAATGAAAGGATTTCTCACATCCTAGTACTTCCGTTGAGCAGCTTCCAGGGCTTTAATTTTCGTCGAAACTCGAGAGCTTAGCGGTCGTAACCATATCGCTAAGGGATAGAATATGGTGCTCATCATTGCAGACCGGTGGGGCGGGTGAGCCGCGCCGCGTGTGACTCGGCTGTGACGCGACTGTCATCGCTGCCGCGTCACAGCCGAGTCACACGCAGCGCGGCTCACCCGCCCCACCGGTCTGCAATGATGAGGACTGTACTTGACTCACGAAGCCTCTAACCATTGTTCCTTGGGCACCGGTGCTGAAGTTTATCAGTTTGGTGGGTGGCAGGACGTGATAAAGAGCTTATCAGCTTATCAGCTGTTATCACGTCCTGCCACCCACCAATAATGTTCCCATCCTGCCCCCTATCTAACTTCTTGGAACCCACATCCCGTCGTCGCTGTGGTCCGCGCTATGGAGCTGGTGACCCTTCCTTTTTAAGGCCCCTTGTGGTATCTTATCAGCTGTTATCACTTCCTGTCACCCACCAATAATGTTCCCATCCTGCCCCCTATCTAACTTCTTGAAAATCAACGTCCCATCGCTGCTGTGGCCGGTGTTATGAATTAGGTAACTCACTCTTTTTAAGGCCCTTGTGGTATCTTATCAGCTCTTATCACTTTCCTGTCACCCACCAATAATGTTCCCATCCTGCCCCCTATCTAACTTCTTGAAATCAACGTCCCATCGCTGCTGTGGCCGGTGTTATGAATTAGGTAGCTCACTCTTTTTAAGGCCCCTTGTGGTATCTTATCAGCTGTTATCACTTCCTGTCACCCACCAATAATGTTCCCATCCTGCCCCCTATCTAACTTCTTGAAATCAACGTCCCATCGCTGCTGTGGCCGGTGTTATGAATTAGGTAGCTCACTCTTTTTAAGGCCCTTGTGGTATCTTATCAGCTCTTATCACTTCCTGCCACCCACCAATAATGTTCCCGTCCTGCCTCCTATCTTACTTCTTGGAACCAACGCTCTAGTCTTGCTGTGACGCGCGTTATGAATTTGCTGACTTCGCCTTTATACGGCCCCTTATGGTATCTTATCAACTGCTATCGCTTCCTGCCATCTCCGCGCAATCAATGTTCGCTCTGCGCTACCTCGCACATCACTCATCAGTTGAGCGCCATTATCGCTGTTTTGAAATAAGTTATGATTCCGGTGTCAAACACCAGACAGACACACAAACATTCACACACACACACCACCAACAGACAAACTCTAGCGGATTAATATATAGTAGGAGTTTTGCTAGATACATTTTACAATGCTAGTAATAATGAAATCTTCTTCGTAGCCATTTTCAAAAGGGTTGTGACCATATCCGTTATTTTGCTGACGAAAACGTTGAAGAACGAACAAGTGTTCGCTGACCTCAAAGTTTCCGTATATATAACAGAAGATCCAGATTTGAAGTTCTGGGTAGCGGTGAAGTTTTTTGCCTTACAACTCGACATTGTGTCGAATTAGAGTTATGTCGTGATGTTTTGATTCCTGGATAGGTGAATTCGTTTTCAATTCTGAACGCCCCGGGTATTCTACCTATCTCCAATATTTTTTAGGTTACTGCTTATCCCAAGAAGACGGACGTGTGGTTGGTCTACGCCGATCTTTGTCTTAAGCACTCAGGAATTGAGATGGCTAGGTAGGATCTTTCACTGCTTCTTCTATGATGCACTATTTTCTTTTAGTAGTTACTGATATCATTTGGACAACCGTTTGTCGAATAACTAACAGACGGAATATATTTTCAGACAAGTGTTGGAGCGCGCATGCGCCCTGAAGCTTAGTATGCACAAACTGCGACCGCTGTTCCGAAAGTGGATGGAAGCTGAGCAGCGGTTTGGTGACGACAAGTCGCGGTTATTGGTAAGCTTCTGTTTAGTTTTTAAATTAAAAATTAAGTGTGTGGGAAGTACCAAAAACACTAGTTTTTCTTTGGTTAGTGATAGGTAGTTTGTCCCATACTCTGTTTAAAAAACTAAATAATTGATTTCCTTTCAGCTTCGAGAAAAAGCAGAAAAGTACCTGCAGATGAATCTCGCAGATGAGGTGGAAGATCTTGAGAACGTCTGATCTACCTGTAATGTTTGACGTGACAGTTTGTATTATAATTCCTTAGCCCATTGTTATCCTTGTTGTGGCTCGCTTGCCAGTAATTTTCGTGCTTATAGTTATGAGCCCGTTGTGTTGGATGTTTTACTGTTGTTATGGAAATGATTGCTGAAACTCGGATTAAAGTAGTAGTTTACTATAGATTAATTGTACACTTTTCGAAGTTAGCATATGTTGAATACTTGTTGCTGTTGTTGTTACTGTTGTTGATTTTTATTTTTTGTGGTTTTATTGATGATTTATTCATTTGTTGTTGCCATATTTCAATAAATATTGCCCTAAATTGGAGGTTCTAATTGCTCGGTAAACATCCATTCGAGTTTATCTTGAATTAATTCTTGAACTTGTGCATGATAAAAATGTTTCACGAAAGCCGAAGATTCATAGAAAAACACGAGTAGTAAGTTAAACTATTAGTCGAACAAAGGTTGATTTCCTGAAGTTTCTTGTGGCGCAGTTTGTCGACGTGGGGGGGGGGGGGGCATTCTGCTTTCCATAGATGTGCCGACCCATCTAGGTAGCCTTTTCTCGAGTTGACACGTTTTAGGATGGTGGCTAGACGATCTTGCACCAGCTTCACAAGGGTTCACAAGTTTTACCAGGGTGAGATTTGTAAACCGGAACTAGGGAAGCAATGGTAGTACAAAATGCCCCCCCGTCGACAAACAGCGCCCCATTTTCCCTTTCGGCATATACAGCCATGCATATACAGTTGTTCTCTGTCCGTTCCAGGGGGAAAGAAAGGTTTGACGCGGCGCCACCCTTTCTGCACCAATTGTTGTCTCCTGCCAGCTTCCACGTGG